ATGTTTCGGTACGTCCGTTCCAGAGAAACGATTTTGCTGAAATCCAAAACCTGGTTCATAGTGTCCAGCAAAGTACGCCCGCATGCGTTGATGGTCTCCAAGAGAGAGGTTTGGAATTCGTCAAGCTGCGTGGCGTTGAGAAACTCCGCGGCCGCCAGGATCCCATGGAGCGGACTCCGAAGCTCGTGACTGGCAAATTGTCAGCAAAATGCATATGAAATGTGTGTTAGAAATACTCACGATATACTGCCTATGAAATCGCCCTTTTGCCGATCTGAAATGAGTGATTCGACCCGATTGCACTCTGCCATAATGGAAGATCCGAACCCGAGGATAGAACTCAATTCTACCGACGAGCTGAAGACTTGCGTCTCCAGTGTGTTCCAACAGAAGCAGCCGGCAAACCACTGTGAATTTGCAGAATTCCAAAGCGGCACGAAAAGAACTTGAGTGGCGTTCGGAAAGTACTGATTTAGCATAGAGTTTTCCGTGGCTCTCCATCGCTTGGATCCTGTCTTGCCCGTCTCGGACGACCTGGTGGTGCGCGAGCGACTTCTTCGTGGCGTTTCATCGTCGGAACTCGAGATCATACCATCGCGGTGAAAGGACCAAAGCTTGCCTTTACTGTACCGCCGCAGTAGTTGGTGAAGAAACGCAGTGTCGAGGGAGGCTGCTGGGTAGAGGGCTTTCGAACCTGGGCCGGGCGCAAATGGCTCTTCACTGGTTGAAATAGCCAGCACAGGAGCCGGATTGTTGCCTTCTATCGAGCAATCACTTCCCGTGTCAACGTCGATCATCGGACTATTGTTCGCCTCGACGAAAATGACCCCGCCATCCACACTAAGCTCGAGACTCTCTCGCAGCAGATTGGCCGCCCGTCGGAATGCCCAACCATGTCCATGAGAGTCATCAGAGCCCTTCAATTCTTTTTCGCGACTGCCGGCCCACCAATCTGGGAAGGGGGTATCCGGTGCGGAGGATTGAGCATGATCGAACTTTGATTCAGACACGGAACTGAATGAGCGGGTATCACTGCTTTGAGATCGCCTAGATGGAGCATCGAAGCTATTTAGAGACTCAAGAGAGTGATGGTTGGCTCGCTGACTTGACGAAGGTGGCGTGCTGGGTGCCGCTGCAGAGCTATCAGAGGAGGAGGGGTGATTTCCATCGACAAAGCTGGAGCTGCCTTCAACAAAGCAGCTGAGACCACGAGACAGGCGGGCTGCACGGCGACCTTCGGAGGCCTGGCGGCTGACCTTCAAATAGTCCATGATCAAGCCGGCCAATGTGTCCATAGTGCCCCTCTCCGTAGCGCTAAAACCATCGTGTGGTTTTGTGTCAAGAACAAAGAAACATCCAATGTTGATGTTGGTGTCCGTGGTCAAGGGCGTACCGGCATAGAATCGAAACTGCGGCTCTCCTGCCACGAATGGAAGGCGCTTATATCGTTCTTCTTCGCTGAGGTCGTTCAGAATCAAGAATTGGCGTTGTCCCGGTTCGCGGGCGGGCGGAAGAGCAACAGTGGCCTGAAGGAAAGAGGCGATCTCGTCTGAGTAACCGAAGTCACGGAACATATTCGAGGAGTCGATACCTACCTTGCACATACTCCAGGCGCTGGATGATAATGTTGAGCAACCATCCCAGACGCCTTCACCGGATGCTTGATAGTCGCTAACGGCCCCAGTCTGGGTGCTCTGCGCCAAAATGAATTGGCTCTGACGGTCCGAAACACTATCGGGGAGGTCGATTAAGTCAGTCATCCACAGTGGAAAGATGGGCAGGAGTTCCCCATGATATTTAGTTTTCATCCCCAACGTACCTGATCAACACGCGCTCAACATTGAGTCGCAATGCTGCCAGCTGCGCAAACGACGTTAACGTCGCATTGGCTTCCCCGATTATCAGACTCTCGGGGACAAGCCCTGCTGCAGCGGCGTCAATGGCGGGGTTTGAAGGACATTGGGAGTGGGAGGATAATGAGGGCGACGAAGGAATGTGGTTGGAGGAATCTAAGCTGGCAGAGGGAAGCGCATCATCGCTGGCGGAGGTGAAACTGCGGTCTTGAGGGACACCGGTGCGTTCGGGCTGGAAGTACCGGTATAATTCCCGAACTCGGCGACCCGCGTTGTGGTCATCGCCCCTTTGCGGAGGGGGTGATGATTCCATGGCGGGAGAGGAAAGGAAGAAAGGAAGAAAGGAAGAGGGAAGGGAAGGGAAGAGGAGCAGAGAGAGAGGATGTAGGATGATAACAATAAAAATAATAATAGTAAGAACTATAATTATTATTGGGCGGTCCTGACTCTAATGAAATTCGATGCGACGGGGGGGAGGGGGTAGGAGTTGGCGCTCAAACGGGCTTATGCAGCCATCCTGGCGGGGGTGGAAATGGAGGCGCTGGCTTGATCGGATTAAAGTGTGGCAAAATGTTGTTAGTGAGGAAGCCACAAGGGAGGTGACGTCGCGATAGTCGAGGTCGGAAAGAGGCTAGATAGGAGGACAGAGAAAATGTAGGAGGATGGGGTTGAGTAGCAGTAGAATGTTAGAAAAGGAAGAAAGAGGGAAGAAGAGGAAAGGGGAAAAGCAAGCTGCTGGAAAGCCAGCTGGAATCGAGCGGGTTTATTAATATCAACTCAATCAAGGATTGCTTGCAGGGCAATCGAAGCAGGAGGAGGAGGAGGTGGTGGTGGTGGTGGAGGAGCAGGAGTGAGTGAGTGGGAATAAGAGGAGGAAGGGTAGGCGAGACGAAACAAGACAAGACAATGAGTAGACGAGAGCAGAGTATACTAATCAGTAACTCAGCCATCAAGTCAATGGTTTGGTCAATTTGTTAATCAGTCATCAAATTTATGCAAAAAGTGACTCTTTTAGGACATCAACCAGCAGTAGCTGTGGATAGGGAAATTAATCTTTCATTTTACATACAGACCGAAACAATGCATCCATAGTTACTCAGTAGGTGCAGTACCTAGTTTACTTTGCAGTTTGCACGGTTCCAAAAAAAAAAAGTATGTGTAAGTAGCAGATTAGTCATGGCCAGAAAGCAACGGACGCATGAATCAGGAAATTCCGGATGGCAAATCTTACGTGGAATGTAGAAAACCACTGCACATAACAAGAATCACCACAGCCAGTGACTGACCAGGATCATAATCACAGTCGATGACCGATTGTCTCATTGAAAGCCACCTCATCAGCTGTCAGTCAGTCCACACAACTGCGCCTTATCCGGGGGTACCCGTCGAATGTGGCGATAATGAGTCAAGAACAGGCAAAAGAAGGGAATAAAAGATACAATACCTAGTGGGAAGTAGATCTGAGGATCTGAATCTTTTTGGATAACTGGAGAATGACCCAACAAATGAGATCCAATATGGACTCGGGCCTTTTCATCCTGTAGACCTGAACATCCACTCCTCTGGATCATGCAACTCCGGAACTCCACTGATTTCTCGTGTCGTGACGACTCAGGAACTGTGAGCCGAGTACATGATGAAAGTCCTAGGCACACATTATTCTTTTGCTGGTGAAGATGTTGTACTATGTGTAGAGTGTGTACCATATTCCCACTTACAGAGTACCTACGGATACTTCGCAGTCCTAACTTCAAGGGTCAATCAAGCATACAAAGAGTCACCAATTCACATATGACTGGATCTCTCACAAGCACCCTTCTTCAAAAAGTGACCAGCATCCATCTCCAACATGTCACTTTGTTTCGCCTTCAAGTATCTACTGCAGTGGACTCGAACCCCACTGAAATCGCCAGCGATTTCATCCTTCGTCTGCCGGAAGTCCCTGTTTGAAGATGTGATTGGGTGACTCTTCATCGATAGCTCCGCCCATTCCGCTTGCCGGGACGGCAGCCCTGGGGGCTTGGGCTCTTGGAGACTTGGTTTCAAACCAGGTTTTATTTGCGCTAGTCCTCTTGAGGGATCTGATCATACTGAAGGTGGATGGATGGTGGACTGGGGACGGGCTGAGAACCCACCAGTGAGGGCAGCTCTTTTCTTCCCATCCACAATTGAGAGACCTCCGCCTTCAGGGCTCGACTGCCACTCACTGCCTAAGGTGTCGACATGTGGGCTTTGGAGGACGGGGAAGGACCTCGCTAGGGTAAACACTTGGAGTCTTGGATCAACATTTTCCATCTGCAATTTTTTACATACAACCGGTGAAGGAGGGGCAATCAAGGAGGCTCCAGGCTAGGCAAGGCTAGACAAGGCGGGCATGGAATTGTTTTCCTGTGCTTACCTCTTAGTACTCGAGTACATCTAAATACAAGTTTCCTCTTCATGCCTTCACCGCTGACGTCGTATCCCGCGTCATGATCGACAAAATAGTTGCTGCACCTGCAGCTACAGCTGCCTTCGGCCGACTAGGCTTTGACTCTGGAATGAATCTGAATCTGCTTGCGGACCGATCACTGAGCGTTAGATAATTAACTTAGGCCCACGGCAGGGGAGGGTGACTAAGCAGTCTAGAAGCTGCAGTGCGGTGGACTGGCAAAACTCAGGCGATTAGTAACCCACGGCAGCTGTCTGTCTAATGTTCTGCCAATCACAAAATCCGGAAAAAGTCTCTGTCAGTCGCCATGGAGGCTGTGAGCCTCGCCTTCGCCCTCGGGTCAGTTGAGGCCCACCGAGCATTTGACATCAGTCACTCCATCAGTGAGTAAGCTGTGGGTGTGAGCCTGTGAGACACCGGATGGCCCATACCCAGGTTTGGCTTTCCCTGCCGTCCCGATCTGATGGGCCCTGATCCGTCAGCTATGACATCTCAGTAATGTCAAAATCGTCCTAGCTCGATGCATGTCTACCGTATCATAAGCAAGGTAATATGGCGGTGTTCTATAGGTACTGTACAAATGCCGATCGGCAAGTGATAAAAACAAGATTTGCCCCAGTCTCCCCGTCCAATGGGCATTTTCCCGTCCGGCGAAACGGAAGGACATCACGGATCGAGGATGAACGGCAATAGTACACATCCAAGAAGGCATCTTTCTAGAATTTCTCCATCAATTGTTTCCTCACAGTCCACATGCGAAGTCGTTTCCCATAGATATACATAGGGATGGTGGCCAGTAAGCAACCCAGCTGAATCACTCCCAATGCAATGAACACCAGCCGGGATCCTTCTGCATCCAACCAGTCCACGATGAAGAGCGAGAATATGAGTCCATGGAACACGTCTGCGGGAAACAGTTAGTTGGGTGGTTTGTTGAAGCGCAGGGGTCAGCCGTGGGGAAGGGGGCGGTACGAACTTTTGCTCCAATTGAGTGTCACCAGAGCTTCACCAGCATACTGCCGGTAGCTGTCGACACAAAAGGTAATGGATGTCGTACTCCCAAGGCAGCATCCAAAAGAAACAATACCAAAGAATATGGTCGGCACAATCCACATATCGCGCTCCTCGGCACTCCATCCAAATCCCATGAGACCAATGGTTGTGGCGAGAGCAATTGGAAGCGCCATGACCAGACGAAACTCCGGCTCGTATATGCCTCCATTGCGCCGTGTCATGTACTTCACAATGATATCCGAAACCTTGCCCGCTACTGCAGTTCCAAGGAGACCACCGACGAACGGCGAGATGTACACCAGGCCAACCTGCAAAGCCGTGAAGTTGTACGAATCTCGCTTTTCGTAGATAGAGCCGACTGCTTCGGAAATCACGATGAGCCATCCCACCGAAAGAGCGTATACAGTGGCGGACCACAGCACTGCGGGATAGGCAAACAATATGAACGGTCGCAAGGCAACACGAAACCAGTTGTCGTGAGCAATGCGCCCATTCCAAGGCCGGAGGTAGTACGTGAAAGAAATCCTGGGCTGCTCACGGAGTCGGTTGGTGTATTGTGCTGCGGGAGTAGCTGGCGGAGCAGGGTCCATAGACTCACTACGAGCCGGAGAGAGTTCAAACCGCCGACCCGTCTCGAGCTCCGAGGGAGATACCGCCCCCGGAACAGGTGGAGTGAGGAAACCGTCAGCTTTCTCATAATCAGCAGGATATGCTGCTTCTGGGCCTGTCTGGCTTGCAGAAACTTCAGGTGCGGGGGTGATTTGATTTTCCTGCTCTTCATTCTGTACCTTCTCCAGATCGTGGGTATCGCCTTCACCAGCGCCATCAACAAAGCCAACGTGTCCCTTCTTGGCCTTCTTTGGTTGGGCAGGAGCCAGCTCCTCATCTGGCGACGGATCTTCCAGACGGTGGGCATGTGGGTGCCGGCCTCGGAATCCATGGGTCATGATGTTTGACATTCCACGATAGATGCTGGGGCGTTTGCGGGGTCGATGAGGTCGAGGGGTGCGGTCCCAGAATGTTTCCGGTACAAAAAAGAAAAGAAGGACAAGACAGCCGCCGACAACAATGGCAACGACCCAGAAGACCCAACGCCATCCTAGGCTGCTAATGATAGCTGCACTGACCAAAGGAATGAGGTTTTTGCCCCCTAGCAGAAGAAGCGTGTAGATTCCAACGCGATATGCCCGTTCATGCAAGAAGAAAATCTCTGCAATAGTTGCGGACGGCAGACACTCGACCGGGCTTACTGCGATCCCCTGGAAAATGCGGGCGACAACCAGACTGGGATAGTTGGGTGACAGCGCACACCAGACGGCAGAAAGGATGAAGAGCGTTGCGCCCAGGAGATACACTGGGCGTTTCCCAAATAGTATAGCTGTTGGGGACATCACTACAGACCCGACCCCAAGGCCAAGCATGTATAACCCCGTGGTATAAGCTACCCTCTGAGTGGTTACGCCATAATCCGAGGCGACTTGCTCAAAACCGGCAGCCAGGATCGGGGTCATGCCGCCGCCCATCAGGCAATAAAAGCCTAAGGATACCAGAGCCGCATCTCGGCGCCATACAGGCCAGTTCAGTGGATCGTTTGCTGAATCATCGGGCTGTGGGTTCAGGATAATTTGACCGTTGGCGGTCTTCTTCTGTGGTGGGACGGAGCGGGATGAAGCCCGCGACGGTGGATAAGGTGAAGGTATGGAGGAGCTGGATTCACGATGTGGTTGGTGCCTCAACCCCAACGGCTCGTTGCGATTAGAAGAGAGGAGAAGGACCGTTCCTGCGTTCACATTGTGAGCCGGCGCGTTCTACCACTGCCAACCGGAATCTCCTGCCTGCTTCAGCCACTCACCAGGTACCTCATCGGTCTCTTTGTCACTTAATATTCCGAGCGTGGCTTTGGGACGATAAGAGTCATTGTTTTCCGCTTCTGGTGCTGATATCTTCGGCGTCCCTTTTCCAAACCAACCGGCGAATTGGCTCTTTTTTGTGTTGGGCTGCTCCGACGCCGAAGCCAACGGTGACTCTTGAGAGGCCATAATGATGTCGCAAAGAGACCAAGTGGAACAAAAAAAATCTTCGTGGTGTCTATAGATTGAGGGGTAATCTATGTTGATAAAGCATGTTGTCAGCTATCAATTTCCTATTCCGTACACGATTATGGACTGACCGACGTCACCAGACAAATGCTCAGCTCGGAAAGCAATAGCGGCGCCTCAGCATTCTATTCAGTCCAGTAGTGAAGGCCAGCAATTGAATTGGTGAGGGGACGGGGACAAGTGTTCGAGAGGCAAGCAGATGAGAAAAATGATCACAGCCTGCGATGAACAAGCAGAACCGGCCACGGTGCAGGCTCGTCAACAGACATGACTAGCAGTGGGAGGATGGTGACATCTTATAAGAAAATGAGACTTTGGCCAAGGGGTTCAAACCAAAGGCTAAACCCAGGAAGGTGGAGGGAAGCGAGTTCAAACAGAAGATATTAACAAGAAGATTATATTTGAGGAGTCGGTGAAGGTAGTCTAGTCAGACAATTAGGATAAAGATTTGGCTGATAAGGAGGGAAGATTGAAGGGAATTCCTCCATAATTTTGGGCCGCGGGAGTGAAAGACGGCCACCCAGTGATCCATCCGTGCACAACCGCAACCGGTGATTGGCTTCCCGTCTCGGTAGCTTCGACTACATTCAATGCGCCCGACGGACTTGTTCCAAGTTGACTTTGGTTTGTGCTGAGCCCCACCATTCGGTAGGCTCCAGAGATCAGATGCTCAATCCTATCTATCCCATTCATCATGCGCTCTAGACGAGGATGGAGGGTGAGAACGGGCTCTGCTTTGCTGTTTCAGCAACGATGACGATTTGCACTCATGACCTGTCTGCAGATCCGGGCTCGAGACCAGGCGGAGAGGCGCAAAGCCAAACTCGACCTCCAAAAATAAGGCAACCCTTCTATCCATCCATCTCTCCATCCTTTTATATGGCCCTATCTCTTGGAGATGGTGAAACAAAAGTCCTGTAGCACGCAATGGCTGCCAGGGGTCTTGTTATTGTTGCTTCAGCATCAGACCTGACAACAAATCAGGTGTTCCTCCACACTGTCTCCGCTCATAGATCATAACGTCCTTGTAGTTACAGGACATGGTTGTACAGAGGCCTTGTTGTAGGCTCGAAGCCTTGTCCGCCGCGGGGGATCGCTCCCCTCTTCGGCAAGTGGCGGAGGTCACCTGATGCAGTCACGAGTTTGTGGGGTCTGATGCAGGAATGCACGAGGTGAACAGCTGTCATTCACAACATCTGCAGCGACGTCAGCGTCAGCCATAGCAACCGCGTCCTACAAGAGTCAGCAAAGGTAGAAGGGGCAACAACAGCAAATAGGAAAGAGTCGCACCAGAAAGAAGAATCGGTCCATGATGTTTGCCTTGACCGGAATGTGACATGTATAGTCTTAGCAAAAGGGGGATGGTTTGCCGCGGTACGAGATGAATCAAGCAGTAATTAGCAGAAATATCCAGAATAGTCTGGATTTTAGCAGACATCAACAATAACTGATCTTCGAGTGGGTCGGTATAGAGTGTTCATCTCGATTCCTTATGCCCGTTTTAGCTTGGTATTCGCTGCTTGTACCTCAACACGCGGGATTATCTTACCCCGCAAATGCCGCAAAGGTAAGGTACTCTCATCTACAGAGTACAAACGCTCCCACGTGACCTCTCATACTCCCCCCCTTGCAGATGGAGTGCCATGATCGTTCATGTTTCCGAGCCTCTTCAATTCTTTCCTTGTAAAGAAAGACTCTTGTTCTATACTCTGATCTCCAGCAGCTTCGGACGTCGACTAACCGGTTGAGGATAAGAAGAGAAGTTGACCACCTGCCCGACATTCCATCCGGGATTGCCAGCAAGTATTCGCAGTAAATCATGAGACAGATGAATGCGGAATCAATGTGATTGTTGTAATAAGTATGATGGTTGTCCACTGATACAATACAAATAAACCTGTGCATTGACAGAGTGGGTCAACTTGTGACGGGCTACAACATACAGCCTGCAGCCCGTCAATGCGACACTGCGTGCCACTGCCTCTAATACACAGTCTTTTATTGCCCGCACCTTGCATCCGCCGTTTATCATCCTCTTCCCACCTATCTTCGTCCCAACTGAAAGTCTCGACGTCTTCGAGTTCGATATCTGCAGCATCGGAGCAGCAATCCTGGCTCTGCCCCTGCACCTGCAGGATATCGAAAGACGAGAAGTGCACGGCCTCTAGGTCCGGAATTGATATCGTCAGCATCAGCCGGAAGAGATGGTCTGCGATGTCTCAAGCCTGTGCAAGATCCCACTTCTGTAAAAGACACAGCCAATGGGACTTTCTAAGCGACCAGTTGGGAAGGATGGAGGCACCGTCAGGTCTACCTTTCCGCACAAAGATCGCATGGGGAGCCACCAGAGCCGGATTGCTAAGGCTGTCTTGTCGTCGGACATCCCAACAGGTTCAAAGCTAGAGCGTGGCGTGGCTCGTAAGTCAATCACAAGGGATCCGGGATTTTCGGGTCGAAGCAACGAAAGTGGACGAGAATATCGGGGGGTGAATTTGTAGTCTTAGTCGCTCGTGCTGATATTGTAGTGTGTATGTTTCAAGGACTTGAGTCGGGATCGGATGGCGGTGGTGTTTCTGATAGTACAATTTCGATGGAAGTCGAAATGTAAACATCACATCAAAATCGTATCATCAGCCATTCTAGGACCAAGTACCTGCAACGACGCATGGAAGTCATTTCTGCAAGGAGGGTCACGTGGCGAATGAATGGTGACTACCGCTTGGAGCACCACCACAGCCGATCAAGCGCATAGGGGCCGTTTAGTAGAGAGTAAATCTTCCGCGATTGACTAGTGTTGCTCTCTCTTACCTAGAACACAAACGTGCTCACTTCCCCAAGTTGTGATCTTTTCACTTTGTGAAACTTCTCGTTCCCCCGATATCAGCCTTGACCACATACCCTCCGATACAGGATCATCCGTCCGCGCATTCGAGTCTCTTCACTCTGATCAAGACGACAGAGACGCGTCAGTCCATTGCCCCTAGCCTGATGTCGCATGCATCGCGTTCTCCACAGAATCCATCAATATGGCCTAGCAATCTGGCTCTCCAACACTGAAAGTGATCCTCCACTGGGGCTGATCGGATACGGCTCTGGTTTCACCTGGGTGACCGGTTGTTGACGATCGTGTGGGCATGCTACATGCGGAGTATCTTAGTTATGAAGCCATTATCAACGGCAGTCCTCCCATTTTCCAACCTCTCATTCAGATTGGGATAGTCGACATCAAGTATTAGGAGTATGGAACTCGTTGTGAACGCCACCATTGCTTGTCTGGCTCCCACTAACAATGGTCTGGCTCTCATAATGAAGCAGAAGACAGTACTCGGAGCATGATCGAAGAGCAGACTAGACACTCGAGTGGAGCAATGATCTGATGATTGAGCGAAGCATATCAGGACGATTTTGCCGCCGGGAACAATGGACACTCTGCGTCAGACGAGCCAAAGCTGGAATACGAACAGATAATCGTTGTTGACAGTACCGATGGTCTGGGACCCAGTTCGTCGAGTGCTGCTGTGGACTCAAGGTTGATCTTCGATGCTTGGGAGACGTTCGTTCCAGACGGCGACTCCCTCTCCTTCAGATGGTCTCAATGGATCGAGCCGTCGACGAAGCATTCAACGATAGAAGAGAATGTGGTCCAGTGGGGCTTCAACACGGAGTCCGGGAAACAAAGTTGTGTCTCTTTGGTCTCTCTCTCTCTCGTCTCCGACCGCGAAGGGAGGGCGGTTGTAAGTGATAAGGATGGTAGCCAGACCCTGCATCTGACTCTGCAGGTGGCTGATCCGGAGACTCCACCGCTAACGAGCTATACAGCGATTCAGGTCTGCATCTAAGGGCATAGCTACATGAAATGATGGGTTCCGAGAAAAGATTTAAAGATCGATCCGAATCGTTCGAGACCCAGTGCTTTAAGTTAACATTATGTTTAATTGCACCTGTGGTCCGGCCGGAGCCAAGAAAGCCCATTGATTGCCTGCTGGTTGGGATGGCTGTCCGTGCCAAAGCCCTAACCAATGGCAACGCCGGCAGATGATTACGAACACGAGGTACTGTACTGCCAACAAGCAGCCAAAAAGCCAAAAGACGAAGAACATGGGAAAAGAAGACAGAGCCCGATGTGAGAAATCCTTCCGGATGCAGGGAGGAGAAGCCCCTCATCTCGATTTCCCCCATCTCAACTCTCGGTCATCTTGAGTCTGTACCATTAACCTCTCGGTCGGAGACGATGTCATCATTCCTTTGTCTATGAGTGCTTCAGATTCAGATACGAATCCCTGTTTCTTTATTCAATCTCGAGTGATAAAACTCGCGGCCTCACCAGCCGAAGGCTTTGTGCGACCTACACAGCCAGATTTGACGACCTGCTCAGCCTTGTCTCACGGAATAAGAGGGAAATTGTTCTCTGTCTCTTCAGCCCCCTTTGTCTGCTGACCCCTCGCCACGACTCTTCCAACTTATGCTGCTACTACATCTTGACTTTCCTTCTTGTTCTCATCGTTAACTGCAAGCACCATCAAGATGTCCTATTACGGGGACACATCGTCGATAACTTCGGCGGCGACGACTACGGCGACGACGTCGACGGCAAGCCGCTCCTCCACCTCGTCAGCAACAACGGGCGTGGCGACACACACGGTCGAAGTTGGCTCCAAAACCTCTCCCCATGGGTATTCTCCACATAACATCACCGCCAAAGTTGGCGACGTGATTGTATTCGAATTCTATCCTCGAAACCATTCAGTCGTGAAAGCCGACTACCTGGCGCCGTGCGTGCCTGCTAGCGAGTCCGTCTTCTACTCGGGAATCTTCAACAGTTTCAATGAAGATGATGGCGATTTGGTCGGACCGGTACTGCCTCTGATGTACTCTTGTCGAAAGTTGTGACCTGACAATCATTTTGTGTTAGCCACCTACATGGTCCCTCGTTGTGAATGACACCGAGGTATGTTCTTGGCACGCTCCAGCAAGACACAAGCGACCTATATGCGACAGCAGACTGATCCTAAACACAGCCAACCTTCTTCTACTGCACAGCCATAGATTCCTGCCTTGTCAATGGCATGGTAGGCGTTATCAACCCTGTACGTCTCTCTTTCAGCCCTCTTGTCTATCTGACCACGTCAAACTGACTCCACCCCACCTCTCTCAGAACGAAACGATGACCTGGGAAGCGCAATACGAGAAAGCAAAAACCTACCCTTACATGCTCGTCCCCGGCCAGTCCATGCCGGCCGAAGGCTCCATCCCCACCTCCAACAGCACCGCCAGCTCCAGTCCATCTGCCTCCTCGTCGTCCGGATCCGGCGGCCTCAGCGGCGGCGCCATAGCAGGTATCGTCGTGGGCTCCGTCGCCTTTGTCGGCATCTTGGGCGCATTATTCTTCCTTCTGGGACGGAACAGGGTGTATCAGAAGTGGATGTCCTCACAGGACGGTCGCACGGAGCGGACGGCGAAGTGGGCGGCGATGTTGAGCCCCGGTCATGGTGGCGGGGACCAGGCGCAGAGCCAGGGACATGGACGGGGGAAGAGTGACTACGACGCGGGCGTCGCCGGGCTAGGGGTTGGCATGATGCAGACGGCTCCCGGACAGCCTCTCCAGCAGCAACAGCAGATGCAACAGCCGTACGGGGACTACGGCAACGCGCAGTCTCCCGGAACGGCGGTGTATGCGACCAGTCCGGATCTGTCGGGGTCACCGCCGCCCCAGAGTCAGGGGGGGCATTGGAGTTGGGATGCGCAGCAACAACAGCAGGTGTACCAGGAGCAGGCACACGGGCACCAGCCTGGGCAGGTTTATTATGAAGCGATGGCGAGAGGGCCGTCGGAGTTGGAGGCTACGAGTAGGAAATGAGAGAGTGGTGTGAATGAGCCGGACTACGTGAGCGAGGTGTTAGCAGAATGTCCTCGACGTTGCATGATGTTGTGTTGTGTCTATACCCTTCTTGATCCAAACTGTTTGTGCAGGTTTCGGTCTGTCTCTTTGATTTTACCTTCCTTCTTTGTCACTTTTTTTGGGAGTTATGAAGTACATAATATCAATATGCCAACGACATGAGCTGTGGGTTGTATGCAAACGGAGGCAACATGTCTCCCATCCACAAGAGTTGGTCAAGCCACAGCCAGCAGGGCAGGAGATCTGTACTATGAGTAGGTACTCCGTAGGCTGCAGTCTATCCACGGTGAAACCAACCTATATTCCAGCGAACTATACCTTATTATTCCCTCACTCAATCATCACCTCCTGATGCCGCGCCGATCCCGCCGAGTGGAGACGAAGTGGATAATCCCAAACGACGGCGTTGTAACAAGCTTAAATTACCCAAAATTCCCCCAGTCCCAAGAGCTTCTAGACTGGCCCGCCTGATGATTCCTGCCGTCTGCATCTTCCATCTTCCGTCTTCCGTCTCCTTCTGACACACACGACCCCATCTTTCAGATGAGCCCACAATTCTAGAATCCAGAATCCCGACCATGGAGACTGATCCACATGCACCCCTGGGTTTTGGTTTCGCCTCGACTCAGGACACGTACATCCCGGGGCCGGGAAGTGTCAGATAGAGAGGTAGGTGACCAATCGAACAGTACTGGAGTGGTAGTTCCTGCGGAGAAGCTGGCATCTATATAAAGGTCTACACCTCTCCCCCTTCTCTTCTTCTCAACAGCACCAGCACCAGCACCAGCACCAGCAACAGCAACCTGCCATCTGTCAGCATCAAATTACCAAAATGGTCTCCACCAACTCCCTCCTCTACGTCGTCCTCAGCGCCGCCTCCCTGGCCGCCGCGACCCTCGACCCGGCCTCCACCAACACCAAGGGCAAATGTCCCGGCACTTACAACTGCTCTGGTAAAGCATACCTCCTGCCTCGCCTAAACCCAACCCCACCCCCCGACCCTCAAGCTTGACTCACGAACCCAGCATGCTAACACAAGAACGCGCCACAACAACAACAGCCAGCAAAGTCTCCACCGCCATCCAAGCCGCCGAGTGCTCGCACAACACCCGCACCTCAGGTACGTCGTCCCCCGTCCCTGTCCCCCTTACCCAAAGAAAAAGGAAACTGACACCCCGCAAAAGGCACCCAAACCTTCGCCGTCTTCGTGACGGACCACGAGTACGACTCCTCGCACGGCGCCCCCTACGGCACCTGCAGCGCGTACACGTGCACGGCGCCCACGGACGCCGAGATGACCGACTCCGACTCGGATTGCTGGACGTTCTTCTGGAAGTTGGTTGTCCCCTTCCCTTCCCTTTCTCTGCTATGTATTCCCTGGACCCCTGGACCTGAACCTGAACCTGAACCTGAACCTGGGGGGCTGTTGGGGATTGTATTGTCGTGGGTGAGGATGCGGGCTGACATAGGCGGCGAAATTGCAGCGAGAATGGCGAGTCCTCCGGGGTCGGAACGGGGTGCATCAAGAGCCCGACTGATGGGACTTGCGGGTGTGAGGACTCGGATGGCACTTTTGTGTATGGTTCGGATAGCTGCACTTAGAGAGATTGGGGATGGATATGTGTGGGTGTTGGGTGTGGGTTGGGGCGAGTTGATCTCGCTTTTTCTTGGGGGGGAGGGGGAAAGATTGGGTAGTGTACTGTATAACAAGCTGGAATATTGTTTGCAAGTTTTCTTGGGGTTGGGTAAATGATCTCTCTCATTCTTTACCATTGCGTGTCCTCGCTGCACATAACTAGATAAATTCTGCGACGTGCAACTGGGTACTTCTTATACAACATACACATAGACATACATGTAGACGAACAACTGGGGTCAAGGATGGTTACAGCTACCGCGTGCTCGCCCCCTTCTGCATGGCAGACAGATGCTCCCACGACAGGGTGTCCTCGCCCAGACTCCAGGCCATGATGCCGCCGACCTGCTCGGCGTCGACGATGTCCGTGAACTTGCGGCCGATCAGGTCGCCCGTGTCCCAGCTCCAGAAGATGTTGACGCTGTCGTCGAAGTAGTACTGGCCGCCCATGGTGGCGTCGGTGGTGCCCTCGCTCAGGGCGCGGCGCCACGAGTCCGTGATCGAGATGCCCTTGCAGGTGCCGTAGTCGGAGAGGCAGCCTGCCTGGCAGAAGTCGTCGGTTGTACCGCTTTGCTGTCTGTCAGTTCACATCCGGAGGGAGATCGATCATGATGCATCTGATGAATTCACAAGGGGGCACGTACCAATTCCCGTACTGACTGCAGCACTGGCCAGAAGGACACTTGGTGCCCTTGTCGAACCCACACGTGCCGTCGGTGGACGTCTTCAGATTACCCGGGGCGGCGCTCATGGTGCTCTTCTCGAAGGTCAGGGCGCCGGACTTGCCGTTGTCCGAGCCGTCGGCGTTCTCCATGACGGCCGCCTTGCAGCCGATGGGGTTGGTCTTGCAGTCCGCGGTGGGGTCCGTGGTGAACCACTTGGCGTAGAAGGCGAAGCCCAGGTTCATCTTGCTGCTCTCGAGGCCGATGGCCGCGTACGCCTTCAGCGTCGTGTGCGAGTCCACCACCGAGGTGTGGTGCATGGTCACGTTGTTGCGGCGGTTCATCAGGTCGTAGCTCATGATGTTGACCATGTCGACCGACGGCCAGATCTTAGGCCCGTTGGCCGGCGTGAACGCGATGAAGTCCTCCAGCTTGCCCGGCACGGCGATCGACAGCAGCTTGTTGGGCCCGATCGCGTCGCGGATCGCCTTCAGGAAGAGCGGGTAGTTGTCGATCTCCGGCACTTTGGCCGAGTTGGGCGTTTGGCGGTAGTCCTGGCCGTTGCCGCCGGGGTATTCCCAGTCGATGTCTGTGGATGGGGGTTTCATCACGGGTTAGGGCTGTGTATTCTAGGAGGTTGGAAGAGGACAGAGGGAAGAGGGACGATTTACCCACGCCGTCCAGGCCCAAGTTGTTGATCATGGTTGCAACGTTCTTCGCATAGCGAGTGCGAGAAGCCTCGTCCTTGGATCCCTGCGAGAATCCAGACGTATCGCCCCATCCGCCGATGGCAATCATGACCTTGGTGTCAGGGCCGAAGCGGTTGCGCATCGTCGACACGGACTCAAACGGGGTGAACTGGGGGGGCGAGTCGGAGTTGAACAGGGTCGAGGGCGCGAACGCCATGATCGCGTGCGTGACACCCTGGGTCTTGTCCTTGCCTGGCAGGTTGGCCGTGTGGTATCTACTCGATTTTCAGTACGTGATGAGGCAAAGATAGCAGGCGGGCGGACTCACTGGTCAATATACATTGCCATCCGCAAGGCTGTCGCGCACTGAAGGCCCATCAGGGCCAGTGCGAGTCGTTTGAGCATGATCGGGAATTCGTTCGTGTCGGGTTGTATGGGCGGTGATGGTCGATGGGTGGTGGGTGTGCGCCCTGGACTGAATCAGGTGGACAGCGCGCGCAAAGTGACCGTCACCTGCTTTTTTGTGTCGCCGAGTGGGCCAGCAGGAGTAATTAACTGACAGCCTGGCGAGGATCCAGAAATAAACACACGGAGACAGGCCTCCATTCCGACTCGGGCATTTTGCTGCCTCCTGCCTAGACCTGGGGTTATCGCCCAGTCATGGGCATGCATTTGAAGAATTTCCCGAGTCCACAGCAGACCCCCAATGACGGGTTGAATGAGATAGTTAAAGTGTGCCATGGTAGATACGGTATGGAGGTTGCTCCATGCCTGCACCTTGGATGGGATTCTTCTTTGCGTCACGGCCGGAATTGCTGCGGTGTTGATTGTTGATTGCTGGCAGCTCCAGTTGGCCAGCATTCCCGCCGACATTCCGCAAAACAAGCATGCCTCAACCGCCTCCCGGCACTGCACTTTGTTCAGTTCTGAAACAATTACACAAGTTAGGGATACAGGAGACTATCGAAGCCAATTTCATTGTCTTTCCTTGGCGATGTACAGCAGACTCAGGTCAGATCTTACACGGGGGGAAAGCCAAGATGTTAAGTTCACGGTTCAAATCCATGTTCATATGAAAAGCGCTAGATTCAAAGTCTTGTTACTGTATGGGTATCTTGTAAAAGTATTTCTCAAGCTGAGATCGTCCACACGACTGGCTACTGGGCTGCGCTGCAAATCCTTAATCCTTAATCCCAGTGTCGCCGGATAATCGGTCGGGCTGGATCCCACGGCCCAGTCACCACATTCTTATACTTCTGGAGACTGATCAGCCACCAGCTACATCCTCCCATAGTCAGCGCCGTCAGGATGCTCCCTAAAATGGATCCGACCACAAACGCCGCCCATCCGCCACGCAGGGTGATGCCCACGGCACCGCCAGCGACGAGCACCAACGCCAGCGTCAGCAGAACATGGCCAGTCCAGGACACATGACGCAGCTGCCGTCGGAAAATGGGAAACAACCCAAAGACCTCCATTGAGAAGAGCATCAGGCTAAACACGTGGGTGGTGGATGGCAGTCGAGACGCTAACACGGTGGAAGCCATCACGGCGGCATTGGTAGACAGGGAAGCCGGGAATTTGGTGGCGCCTGCGCCCTCCCCGCTTCCGTAGTCAAAGGAGAAGATGTTCATGATCAGCAGCCAGCAGCTCATGGCCCAGATCGAATCGCTGGCGGTCGATTTGGTCAGCGACTTTAAGATGGGACTCAGCGCGAGCAACGAGAAGTAGATCAGGAAAGCCGACTTGACGGTAGAAAGCCGTTGGCGGTTCCGCGAGGAGAACATCGGCGACATGTCCGCCTCGGACGACAAGCCACCCAGCGGACCACTCACCGGGCCAGACAGGGGAGACACTGGTTCCTGTCCGCTGCCATCGACATCCCCACCGCTTCCCATGCTCTGTCGGTGGGCGGGCTCGCTGGATTCATTCTGTGCCATGGACAACCCCAGCCCATGGACCTGGTTCTCCTTCTGGCCGCAGGGACGCGAACTGGCGGTACCGGACGACGGGTTGACGGAACTAGTCATGGAACTCGCACTCGATCCGTCATCCCCTTCTGACGATGCTCGCTCAGCGACCTGCACACTCTCCACATGTTCCCGCAGAATCCAAGAATCCCAGAAGATCCAACCCAAGGCGGTCCCGACACTGCCCCAGCACACCACCGAAACAGGGCTCACGCGGCCCTGCACAATGCCAACGAAACAGCATACGAAGATCGCGACCGAGCATACATGTTGTACAATAACGGTGGAGTCGGCCACGAGAGGCCAGAAATCGTAGGGGCGTACGCGAGGATTGCGCTGCAGATGGTCCAGGAAGGTCTCTGTATCCGTGTAGTTATCGGGATCTGTGTGTCTCGATTAGTGCCTTACACCAAGACCCGAAAGACCTCATAGGTTATCTTGTGATTGATCTTACAGGACTGTTTCACCCAGAGTAGCTTTTTCCAGGCGCCTTTTCGTCTCCTCCGGCGGCTGGTCCCCCGCAGCTTTTGTACCTCCTTTCGCCCACCACCACCGGCTCCTGGCACGGCGGGCGGCGATCGCAACGCCGCCACAGCGTTGGGGTTCAACACGCGCATGGAACTGTCAAAGTGGGCCGAGGTAGGCCGCGCGCGCGGCAGCGAAGAGGTGTAGTATGCATCTTCAGGGGCGAGGCGGGTGGGATCCGGGAGGGCTCGTTGCTCTTTCAGGCCGACGCTGCGGTTCGGATGGGTTTCGACGGGCACCGGGGGCGGAACGGGAGGAGGCGAATCGGACAGCGAAGGCATCGAGCAGGACCCGGACTCATGCTTGGAGCATGATGTGATACGATCGAGATGAGGAAGAGTTGGAGTTAGAATCACCTGAGCTGGAATCTCCCCCCGTTGGTGACGCGAATCGCCAGATCCGGCACGCCGCCCACGTGGGATTAGTCACCCATTCACTATGCTTGACTATGTATGTACTATGCGGTTCATGAAGGATCACTCAGTACTGGTGAGCAATGGCAGTCTTACCAAAGGCTTATACACGGCCATATGAGTGCCTTGTCCCTGCATAATTGTCAGTGTATTAATCAGATCTGAGTCCATGTCTGTAAAAAGCGAGTTTACTGTACAATATACATCATTTTCTACTGGCTCCGTGTCCGGCTCACCCATTATAATAAATGCGCCACCGATAAACCAAAGCCTGGTTCGCGAACTTCGGATGTGCTATACAAGCCTAGGTGCTTGTCGAGTGCACTTTGTTAATCTATGCTACGAGTGTCAAAGGCAATGCTCTTGTGGGCATAGTGTGGAAGCCTAGCGCACATCTCCTTTCCATCACTCGCTACACTATGATCTACAAGTATAGAAGAGGATCCGATTGTTTTCATGTCAAAATACCCATTCACTGCCTTCGACCACCTAATAAACATCTAGTCACATGCTAAATTTACCTTGGTGTCTCCCAACATATCCGATTCCACTACCTATCTGCAGGTGGTTCCTCCGCGGGGTTTGCCCATTAAGATAAGAATCCAATGAAAAGCAAACGCAAAACGCGCTACAGTACATGTAGTTACATGTCACCTAACGCGTGATCGCGCACTCTTTGTTTGACCAGTCAAGGCCCATCCAATCCACACCCAGGCGTTTTCTCCTACTCTCTCACAATTTCCTGTGCCTGGGAAAATAAGAAAATCAATCCCACCCACCGAGGCATCGAAGCCAGCCAGCTTTGTGATTCGATTTCTGTTACGCGAGGACTGCAACTACCAGCGGTGAACAAACAAATATGTCGAGCTCCCAGTGGTCAGCGGCAGTTCCACCTCATTTTTAATTCGCATTCTCCTCTTTATGAGGAGGTTTACTTTTTTTGTAGCTTTGGAAGGGAAATCAGAGTCGAGCTAACCGAGTTCCGTGTGCTCCCCAATCTCCAGGAGGTCGACCGTTCTCTACCCCAACATCCTCAACTCCCGATCCAACTCCTACGAGGTCGAGGAGTCCGATGCGAAAGGACCGGCTACCCTCAACGAGCAGCACAGCCGCCGGTCCGCCTCGTCCACGCCGCCGTCATCCTACGACTCGGGGCCCGACATCCCGTTCCACGCTGCCACTACATCTACTCCCACTGTCACTGTCACCCGTCATAGCCATAGCCCCGTAACGGCAGCGGCTTACAGCAACAACAACAACAAACCCACCGCGGACCCCCCCAACAACGACAACACCGACACCGACACCGACATCCCCAACCCATTCTCCATCAGCTCCAAGCCCATCAAGGGCCCCCCGATCCCGTTCCCCCGGTACCTGCAAGCCGAGATCGCCAAATGGCACGAAGCCACCCGGGGCCAGCGGCGGAAGAAGCGCCCGCCGTTCTCCTACCGGGGCGAAGGGGTGGTCCGGGAGTACAAGGTCTTCGACCGCACCGGCCAGGAGCTGCAGCTCTGCCAGTATCCCCTGAAGAGTCCGCGGACCAACGTGCTGGTGGCGTATGAGGCGACGGCGACGGCGGGGGCAGGTCCCCCGCGGACGGGTTCAGGTTCCGAGGCATCTTCCGCGTCCGCATCCGCATCCGCACCACCAGGAGGGAAGATCGTGGTCTGCAGCCTGCCCCACTCGAGCCCGTTCGGTACGTTTCTGAGACAATGGACGCCCGCCGACCAAGATGTCCCGCCGCCGTCGTGCGCGGTGCGCGTCTGGCGGATGAAGCCTGGGCAGGAGATTGTCTACGACCCGGCCGCGTGGGAGTTCATCGATGGCCGGAGGGAGAGGGAGCGGCAGCAACATGGAGAAGGAGGAGGAGTGGCCACAGCTGATGTTCGCCCACGGCCGCAAGAGAGGAGAGCTAGTGAAAGGGGCGTGCCTGCCAGGTCGGCGAGATCGAAGTCTGCGCAGCAGCAGCAGCAGAAAGTGGTCGCGAACGCAACTCGTGTGGCCAGTATGTCCTCAGACAGAGATACCTCCCCTCTGTCCGAGCTGGTCGACGACACGGAAGAGGAGTCATCCTCGGTGAGTGAGCCAATCCAGCAGACCAGAAGAATCCCAAAAAGACAGCAACAGCCAGCCCCAACGTCGCCATCGTCGTCGTCGCCGCCGGTCCCGAAACGGCGCAAGACGAATCATGCGGACCCGCTGTCCTTGCGCAAGGTGACCGGCGGCCTGGTGTTCGTGCTGTGCTCGGAGGACAAGCCCAAACGGTTCGTCTTTGTGGCCACATGCAACACGGTGGATGATCTCTTCGCGCAGGCCCTCGACTTCTTTCGCCTACACTACAAGCTCACGGAGCTCAAGTATCTGTGTTGCGAGACGGAGGCGCACGGCGAGGTGTGGCTTCCGCGGGGTGGTCATGATGAATTTGATTATATGATCTGGGTGGCCTTGGACAGCTTGAAAGGGAAGGACAATGTTCCAGCTGTGGAGATCAAGGTCAGACCGGTTATTATACCTTGATTCCGGGAGGGTGGGAGGGAAGGGAGAATAGCGCGGCTCCTGCTGGCGCCTTCTTGAATACATCTTCGTAACACCCGTACGGATGCTTGAAAATAGACCGGTCAATCCGGGATCTACCCGGTTCCCAATGTACGCTTGTGATCTATGTAGTGGTACAGGACAACTGGCCGACGCCGAGAGATATGACCGAGAGGAGAAACCGCCCGAAAAGGAATAATAACTCTTGACATGCAGTGGATGCCTGGCAAGAAAAATCCAAAAAGAAAAGTGCATAACAGTCTAACCACATGCACGCAGCAAACACAATCTGAGTCTAATGCCTTGTTCCATGGTTTGGAGGATGTCATCGAACATTTCCAGGTGGTCGGAGATTATACGGAGCATTATAATATAAAAAACAGTATAAAATGCAGTAGTACAATGTGTGTCATGACAATCGACGGGTATCAAAACGCTCAAAATGAGGAGGAGGAAGGGGTCAGGAGGGGAGGGGCCGGACACATCTTTGTCCAGCATGCATGCTGTTTGTCCGGAAGGGTCATCCTATTCAGGATGCGTTCGGTTGACTAGTAGCTTGGTGCTTGGCTTCCAAGGCCGCCTTGAGCTCCTGCAGGGACGCCTCGTCGATGCTGTTCCTGCGTCCCCAATTGGCAGGCTGTCTCCGCAGGAACGCCCCCACGGAGCCGATGTAGCCCTCATGACGCAGGAAGTACGCTTGCTTCTCGCCCTTGGACCAGAACTTGATGGCGTACGAGAGCGTGTTCATGGTCTGGCGGTGTCCGCGGATGAAGGAGCCGCCGAAGTAGATGTGCTTGACCTGGTGCTTCTCGGACTGCAGGTAGGCGATCTGGCCGATGTTGTTACTGTGACCTGTTAGACTAGTTTTCTTTGGCTGCAAACTGAGCGTGGAGGATCACGACGCACCTGATGGCATAGAGTAGACTCCTGCTCATATCCTCGGGCTTGAACTTCGGATCGCCATTCGTTGAATCAAGCTCCCCATCCTCGGGCGACGACTCTGCCCCGTCTGCTGTCTGCTGACCGGCTTGATTCTTGAGGCGGAATACCTTGCCGAAGGTGCTCGCAATGGCCGTGTTCTTGAGTCCGATCTTGCTGTAGTCCATGCCGTAGATATCCCCCACCAGCATGTCCACCCCGCTGTTGTCACCCCGATCCGCCATGGCGAGCATATCGTCGAAAGTGCGGGCCCCCGTCAGCAGCGACATGAGACCCCAGAAGGTCCCACCCCCCAAATGTGTACCCCCTACACGTTGGAACTGCTTGGGGCCGGACACTTTGATCATGGACACGCCGGAGCCGATGTTGACTAAGAGGTACGGGTAAACATCCGGTCGGGCCTCGGCAAATTGCATGGGTTCGGTTTCGCTGTAGGTGAACACCTCGTTGGGGATCTCCGTGATAAAAAAGTCCAGGCCTGTTGGTAAACAAGTGCGAGTCAGAGATGCGTTCTCGTCCCAGCATATTAACTAACGGAAGGGTAATATGGACTTGCGTACCAGTAATGAGACATTCCATCTCATCCTCCCGAATGATGTCGACGTTGAGAGACTCCTTGAGCTTATCATAGTACAGGTAAGCCCCGCCTCCCGTCGCCATGACACATAGCTCCGCCCCGGACGAGCCCTTCAGCTTCTCATGTTCGGCCTTTAATTCTTTGATGAAGTCGATGCAGAGGTCGATGCGCGAGGTTTCGAAGTTGATGAAGTTGAGTCGCCCGCCATTGTCGGCAGAGTCGATCTCCCGAGTGAAGTAAACGAGCTTTGCTAACGAGCCGCCGATCTAAAGAAAAAAACCGTTATGGCTCGAGTTAATTTTCTGATCAAAGTGGTGGTGGAGAGGCTGGAGGTGCTAGTGCGATGAACGTTGAGGATTGCGGGGAGCTGGCTGCGATTGTGTGCGGGGAACCGCGGAGTGTCCGGATGGAAAGTATCAGGTCAGGGAGAAAGTTAACTCACGTCAACAGCTACATGACTAATTTCCTTGTGATTCGGAAGCCGAATGTCATGACCTGAGCCAGAATTATAAGCAAAAGTGAATTTCGGTGGGTTAACCGGTGGGACGTGCCGGCACGAAACGACAAAGGCGTATTTCTCGCGGGGGGAGGGGAGTTGCTCACCTTCATAAGAAACCCCGTCGGTCCTCACCGGACTTTTGGACCTCGGATCATCGTCCACAATGAAAGCCCCCTTCACATTGATCTTGACGGTCCCCGGATTGGCCAGTTCCAGCCGAGCGCTCGCCCGATTAGAAGTAGAAGTGGCCATGACGACTCAATGGCACGGAGCAAGTATCATGAGATTGAGGAGAATCGGAGCGATGACAAAGAAGGGGGGAGGGGGGGGAGGGGGGGGTTTTGGGTGAGTTAAATCCAAAATCCGAAAAGTAGTTGAGGGTCGCTGAGGAAGCTCAGTCGGTCTCGGGGAAATGGGGATTATTGGCCCGTGATACAGAGTACAGCGTATATTTGAGATTCCTTCTGCCCGCTTGAAGGTCGGTCGTTCGAACCCACTGCTAAACCCACTCCACTTTACGGGTTGCGGGCTGGGCGCGCGGACGGAGTCTCCGACCTTTTCTTTCCAATTGTTCCGTGCCGCGCCACTGTCCTGCAAGGGGATCCTATCCATCCTCACATCATCTGCTCGTAGTCGTCTTAGGGCCTCATGGCTTCATTGTTGGTCAAAACAGGCTGAGTGCATCGGTCGGAATATGCTTGTCCCATGCTAGTTGACGAGTGGTATTTGCCCCTGAAATGACGTCGGGACATTTCGTGGTGCCTTAGGAACGAGGCACGAGTTATACTAAAGCTACTCGACCCACAAGCATAGGAACGATTGCATACACAGTAAATACCTCACATTTACCGGTCCAGTGACTGCTACTCACTAATACGAGAGGAAACCAACGACAAGTTGTCAAACGAAGTCCTGTAGGTCCACGTCGGCAGACAGCAGCATTGGCCCGTATGCTCCAGGCAGGCGCATCATGTCCATCCGGGGATTCCCCTCCATCACAACGCCAGTCACTTATAGCTCCTGTGCCCATATATCGACGCCCTGGTTCTTGGGACATAGCCATCCTTCATGCTCTGTCTTTCACAAATCCTCAGAGGGTCTTTCCCGGTCATGATCGTACTAGGCGAACGGATAGCTGATTCCACAAATTCTCGGTCGTGCGCAGTTGGCACCGCAGTGCATTTCCCCCAGACCTGCAAGAAACAATGTAATTTCGCAGTCGATATATTCAGCATAATCATCGTCAGAGTCGACATGAAACTCTCCACGAGCTCTGGTAGAACTGGCTGACCAGACACATTGCAAATCTGAGTCCTTCATCTGGTCCCTGACCCAATGTCAGACCTTGACTTGGGAAAGACAGGCCCACCGGTACGACACCGGTGGATATCCATGATAGCGTTGATCCGCGAGAATTGACATGGCTGCTTTAAATGAAGCAAATGATTCAGGGAATATTGACCCCGAGAACTGACATAACTGCAACTGAGCCAGTTCAAACTTGCGCCTTTTTGTATGCTTGCCGTCTGCCTTCAATATATTGTCATCCATGAGTTCACTCACAGAGTTGCACTTCTTTCACGATATGTGCAGCCGCTGCGTCAGAGCTTCGGGAAATTGGACCAGCACCCATCTAGGATGGAGATGACCCTGAGGCAAGATTCCACATCGCCATGCTGGCTATGGCTTTGTGATGGTAGACGAGGCTCATGAATGACAGCTGTGTCCAGGTCGGGCGGTGGTGCAAATCATACATCGGCGAATAGTCGTTCGTGTTATCGCAGATCTATTCAGAGGAAATGTGGGAGGAGGAGAGAGATGTGGAAGCCTAGGGGGCTTTGCTTGTGTTTGACATGTAGAATGAAGTAAAGCAGGTAGATAAGTTTCTAGTACTTCAGGTAAGTGTATATGATGAGTGAGGTTTGGAGTGAGGACGAGATTGCCTCAACCCGGCCTCAAGCCATCAGGTATGGTAAACCATAAGCAAGCAGCAACACTCGAGCATCTGGAACTGGTCAGATATACTGACTGATAGTAAAATGCCTTACTCGGCTCTCGGCTGTCTGCATAATATTATTTTCTCCTCAGACAAATAGATCCTCGTCAGTTGTCTCAAGGGGAGGCCAGACGATAATTCCGCTTAGCTTTGAGGAACTCGACTGTGGTCATCGAATTTTCCGAGTACGGTATTTGATCCTGCGTGCCTACAAGCGAAAATCGCTCTCAATTTGACTCCTCTAGTCATCTTCCCTGGTCACTCCCATTACGATATGAATTTTCCGTAGGTGCTACATTCAAAAGGCTCGAGAACCGGTTCTCATTGGCCTCACTCCGTTGAAGTGTCTTGTTGTGCAATCCGTTTGCTCGACTCGGGGTGAGGTGTTGCTGAGGCGAGCCCACACCACCTCATCTCTCTCTTTCTCTCATTCTTTCACTGCTCTTCTCCTTTCCCCTCCTTTCCGTCTTATTTCTTTTCTCCTTCCCCTTCCTCTTCGTTTCCATCTTTCATCCATCCCTGTAAGCAGTGCACTGCCCTCCCTCTCGTTCGTCTCCGCGCCTGTCTCTCCTCGTCATCTGTTCATATCACAGTCTAACTACTCTGACTATCCCACGCGTCTCTGTCGAAAAAGGTAATGTACCGTTTGCTCTACAAAACAAACACTTGTCCGTCGTCCTAACTACGAGTCACCTCTTAGGTTGGTGTCAAGAGTCTGTCACGTAGGACGTCGTTGGATGCTAGTCCAGCCCTGGACGAGCAATCATGGTGGAATTCAATATGTCTTCGTTGAACACCGCCCTCGACGATGTGACCAACACTCACGACAACAAAGAGAACGACGCGTCCAACCTGGCCCGCGCGAAGGGGTGGGTGGCTCCAGAGAGCTATGACTATGACAAGTATACTGCTACTCCAGCCCCTGCTGAGCAACCCGCTGGCGACGCTGGTGACGGTCAGCTCCCCGAGTGGGCGGCGAATGCAGCCAAGTATGAATGGAAGGATGAGTATGGTGATGTAGGCCCGGAGATACCTGAGCTTGAGGAACAACTGTTCCGAAACGAATTCATCAACCGGGCTGGTCTGAAGATTGGAAAGTATGTCAGCTGCGGTCTAAAGTCTCCCATCGCGAATCGCTAACTGTGTCTAGTCTACAAAAGATTGAGGTCGTCGCCGAGAGTCGTGAAAGACCAAACCCTGTGAGAGATGTACGTTTGATTCTCTACCTGTTCTGAGTGTGATCATGATCCTGATCGCTGTAGTTTGATGACGCTGGTCTGCATCCGATCATGCGCAAGAATATTGAGCTCTGTCGTTACGCACACCCAACACCCATCCAGGCGTATTCGATCCCAGCAGTTCTCACTGGACATGACCTGATTGCCATTGCCCAGACTGGTAAGCACCTCTGCCTTTCATGTTGCAACAGCCATTTGACATGAATAGGATCTGGAAAAACTGCGGCTTTTCTCATTCCCGTCCTGTCCCAGCTGATGGGTAAGGCCAAGAAGCTCGCCGCTCCTCGTCCTAATGTAGCCGCTGGTTACAATCCTGCCACGGATGCTGTCCGGGCCGAGCCTTTGGTCCTCATTGTCGCTCCGACCCGTGAGCTTGCAACTCAGATCTTCGACGAGGCAAGACGCCTGTGTTATCGGTCTATGTTGCGTCCTTGTGTGGTTTATGGAGGTGCGCCATTCCGTGATCAGCGGGACGAGCTGCAGCGTGGCTGCGATATCCTCATTGCCACTCCCGGAAGACTCCTTGACTTCATGGATAGGCCTCACATGCTTTCGCTTCATCGTGTCAAGTAAGTCGACTCCCGAGCAAACAAGATACGTAAAATTGAACGGCACCACAGGTACACTATTATAGATGAAGCCGATGAGCTTCTCCAGTCGGATTGGGAGTCGGATTTCAACAAGATCATGTCGGGAGGAGGTATGCTTATCGTTGTGTTCTCTTTACCATAATTGACACTTACATGTGCTAGATGTGAACGAGGATGCCGACCATCGTTACATGATGTTCTCTGCGACCTTCAACAAGGCTTGCCGTGAGCTGGCTCGCAAGTACCTCGCAGATGATCATGTTCGCATTCGCATCGGACGTCCTGGTAGCACTCACATCAACGTGCAGCAAAACGTAGGGCTCCCTGTTGAATAGCTGCTTCTTTCTGTTACTTATATGGCCGCAGATCATCTTTGCGGAGCGGCACATGAAGAAGCAGTGTCTCTATGACCTTCTGCTCTCCATGCCCCCCTCTCGAACCCTGGTGTTTGTTAACTCGAAGACTCAGGCCGACCTTTTGGATGATTACCTGTTCAATATGGGTCTGCCAAGTACCTCTATCCATGCGGATCGTACTCAGCGTGAGCGTGAAGATGCTTTGTAGGTATCCCCCTTCCAAGAGGTTGTGAAACCCTCATCTGACCGAGAGATAGGCGTGCTTTCCGGACGGCCAAGTGCCCCATTCTCGTGGCCACCGGTGTCTCGGCTCGCGGCCTTGATATCAAGAATGTCATGCATGTCGTCAACTTCGACCTGCCTCGTGCCCAACACGGAGGTATCACTGAGTACATCCATCGTATTGGTATGTTGGAAGAGCCATCCCCATAGCGACTCACGCTAACGGTTGATAGGACGCACTGCTCGCATTGGGAATGAAGGCCTGGCGTCCTCATTCTACAACGAGGATGATCAGGAACTTGCACTTGACCTTGTCAACATCTTTCTTGAGAGCGGCCAGAAGATTCCTGACTTCCTCGAGTCCTACAAGCCTGTTGACAACAAGATCGACTTTCAGGACGATACAGATGATGAGGATAACGGTGACGGCAACACTGGAGACGACGCCGGTGCAGCGTGGGGAGGTATTCAGATGGATGACAACGATGCTGGCAACGCGCCCCAGGCATCAGACACCGATTGGGGTTTCTAAGACTGGAGCTCTGGCTTGTCTGTTGACTTTGGGATCCGCACTGGGCATCTCAGCTCTCCACCCAATGTTGATGAGGCATGGAGTGGGACCTTTTGTTGACGGACTCAGCTCGTTGGTCTTAAACATCCTCTCTGTTCTCACTTGGTTCACAGTCTTCTGAGCCATACTTGCCCCGATGTTGTTTGAGGAGTTGATACCTCCGTGGCTTTGAGAATGATGCTGTAGGGTTCGCTTCTTATTCCAGTCATGCCCCGGAGATCTAGCGGACGCTGTCTGATCGAGTTTTTCTGCCTCGACGGCGGATGATGTATTTCGGTGTTGCAGGATCTCCGGCCAACGACAACGCTTGTTGGGTGGTTGATAGGGATGAGGATTTGATCAACGGCGTCGTTTTCTCGTCTTCGAGACCAAGTCACCTGTGGAGGTTAGAGGAATGTCTATCACAGTTGATATTTACACTGTCACAACCTTTTCGAATCATAGGATTGCTCTTTCCCAAAGTAGACCTTGTAGCATATTACCTCGTAGCTCCTTCCAGCACAGAGCCAGCCTTAACATCGGACACCGAAAAGATCACTCTATCACTACCACCAAGACAGCAATGCTTCACTGCATCACAGCACTGCTTAGCACATCCGATCGTGATTCTAACAAGCAATCCACGATATCGACCATGGCCCCGAGCATGTCCACCACTCTCTCGCTCCTCCTCCTTCTCATCATCAACGCCCTCATCACTCCCACCCAAGCAACACCGCCACCGCTACCACCTCTTCCACCCTCCCCACCCTCCGCACCAACCCTGAACCTCACCACCACCACCTTCCACAACCCACAGGGCCCGCCCAACAGCATCCTGATCGACACTTTCCAGCACCAAGACATCAACGCCCTCGGCCACTGGCACGGGGCCCTCGAGGGACTTACCGTGCACCACGGCAACGGATTCGTGCGGCTGTTCCCCTCGGACCCAGACCACAGCTACCACACGCAGCTATCGGGGTCGTCGTGCTACGACCTGCGGAGCCAGCAGCCCACGCACGCGCTGCACGTTGTCTTCGGCGGGACGACCAAGTTCTCGATCTTCGTGAACCAGCACAACGCGGCGTGCGACTTCACGCGCAACCCGTTCCCGCAGACGTCGGACGTGGTCGAGGCGGCGCGCTACGCCCGGGGCAACGACATCTACATCCCGCTGGCGCACTTCCACATCGACCAGAGCAAGGCCGTATCGGTCAGCTTCGGCGGCTTCTGGTCGCTCGAGAGTCTGACCCTGTACCGCGTCGAGATCGTCCCCGCCATCCCCGTCGGGTTCCCCGTCCCCCACCGCGTGAACAACGGCCGGCTGATGCTGACGTGCTCGCGGCCGGACTCGTTCGCCTTCGGCATCGACGACGGCCAGCCCCGCTTCGCGCAAGAGGTCATGCGCATCCTCGAGGAGGAGCGCGTGCTGGTCACCTTCTTCGTGGTCGGCCTGGGCCTGCGCGACCGCGAGACCAACTTCTCCAACGTCTATCGCGAGATGATCAAGCGCGGCCATCAGATCGCCCTGCATTCGGATACGCATCGGAAGTATGGCCCCCTTCTTATACTGTCGTGTGGAGACATGGCGCTTTTGTGCTTTTCTCCAAATCACCAGAAGATATGCGACTAACCAGCGGGTTGATACAGGATGGAAGGCCTAGGCTCCACCGCAGAGATCGACCGCGAGATCGTCGAAAACATCAAGTCTTTTCGCCAGATACTGGGGATCGAGAGTATGAACCACCTATCTCCAAACACGGCGCAGAGGTGCAACTCCGATTGGCTGACCTACTTCCAAACGCAGCTCATTACTTCCGTCCCCCCTTCGGCACCCTCGGCGCCCGCACCCGCCAACGCCTGGCGAACTACATCACTGACCCCCAGATCATCACCTGGAGCGTCGACATCGAAGACTGGCTGTGGGCCGACTCCAAGACCCCGGAGAAGCAGCGCGAGGCCTTCTTCCGGGACGTCAGGCACGGGGGCAATCTGGCCGTCATGCACTTTTTGAGTTCCACGACCGTCAGCTACTTCCGGGAGGTGATCCAGTTCGTCAAGAGCCAGAACAAGACCATCATGCGCATCGACCAGTGTCTGGAAGACCCGAGGAGTCCCCCCCTGAAGTTTCCTATCCATTAACTGGGTACCTGGGTCGGGATCCGTGGCTTTCCCGTTGTGCTACGCTATGCTATGCTATGTTGATGTTCTGCTTGGAAGCGCGGATGGAAGTATAAACTTGTGGTTGCATGAGTTGGTATAAAGCATATTGTATACGATACAAAAAAGCAAGCTTGGCCAAAAGAAAACGCTGAAGCGGACACAGTAAAAACAAGAATGCAACAAGACATTTTGTTTCTCACACAGTAGAGAAAAATAAAGGAACTTCTTTTCTGGTGGTTCGTGCTCCCTCTGTAACCCAGACGCCTGGTGTGGATGCAAGCCAAAATCGAGGAATAAAAAGCTGAAAATAGAAAAAAAAACCGTAAAAAAACCCCCCTTCCCCAGAACGCCATCAACCACAATGCATGCATAATCCCTCGCCAAAGGATTGGCAAGAACAGCACGATGTCCGGTAGGGAGAAGCTGAAGTATAATCTAATCCGATATAAAAGAAAACGGATAACACCAAGCCCACCATCCCGCAAAAAGGAAAATAGTTTCATCAGCTTTGTGGGATGAATTACTCGGCCAGCGAATAGTTCTGACAAGTGTTTTGTGCGATCTTTTGGGCGGCAAGAAAGAGAGAGAGAAAAAGTCTATAAACCAAAGTCCGGCCGACCACACCGTGGCGCATGTTCTATCATCTTGTCGATCGTGTTCAGGATCCAGCCGGACCGAGCGTCGGGGTTGCGGACTCCCAGCCGGGGCGTTTCGCCGAGGAAGCAGACGCCGGCGCGGAGGACGAACTGGGCGCAGTTGGCTGCGTCGGCGCACACGGTCTGGCATTCGTGGAAGGTGGTGATGTCGGGGCGTTCTTGGTCGGAAAGGTTGTCCCAGCTGTCGCGGACGTTGGAGAGTTCGGGGTATATGAGTTCCTTGAAGACGTCGCGGTGGAGGAGGATGTGTTTGTTTACCTGATGGGGCGCGGGATGTGTTAGATGGTGGGGATTCAACAGGGGAAGGAGATAGGGTGGTAGCACGTACATCTTGCCATCTGCGACGCTCATACTCGTACAAATCTTGGATGTCGCGGGATGATAAGTGGTGGAACGCCACGGCGGGGAAACACCATGGCTTGCGATAGAAGCCCGTGGCGAACTCGTCGATCTCGCCGAGGTTGGAGTTCTGGAGCATGGGCCAGGAGTAGTGCAAGGGCACCCCGGCGTCCGCGAGAACCTTCCCTAGGACGCAATCGCCAGCCCAGTGCCAATCGGTGTATTCGTTTAATTCTACCGTCCGAGCGGCGTATTCTTTGGAAGCCAGCTGCATGGCCGGATTGGAGACGAGGAAGCCTGATCCGCCGTGCGCGAAGATGACGTCCGCGATTTGGGTCTCGGTTCCGATATAGTGCGGCTCGCTGGAGTCGAAATGTGCGAGCCATGCGAGAAGCGTCGGCCACGAGAAATATGTGTCCGCCTCCATGAAGACGTACCACTTCGCATCGTCTTTATAGGCCAGCGCCTGTTGGACCATCGGGAGAAACTTCCACTTATCAAGCTTCCAGCCCGGGTTGTTGGGTTTGCCGATGTTGGAATTGGCCTCGTCAGCGAAGTCGGCGGACGCGAGACCGGCGCGACCTTGTTCGCGAAGGCGGTTGTAAAGGTTAAAGTCCTCGACGGTATCCCGCACGGTCGTGTCCATTCCAACAAAGGCGTCATGAATCTTGACACCTTCGATTTCTTCCGCAAAGTCGGAGAATATGACGTAGTGGGGGACACAACGGAGGGTGGTGTGGAAATGGACGGGAACTTTGTCGAGAGACTCGGTGACGCCGGTCTTCATCACGACGAGGACGTCCTCCATCCCCGGGAGGGGTGGGCATTCGGGCAGGGTGCGACGGGCCTCGTCATTCTTTTGAGGATGTAGCTCGGAGCGGAGGGTGTAGAAGTGGTAGAGGAGGATAAGTCCCAGGAGGGCGGAGAGGGCTGCGATGCGACGGGAGCGGCGGAACATCCTCGCAGCAGTGGTGGTTGACGTGAGGGGAAACGAGGGGGAAAGAGGAAGAGGAGGTTGGTTGGTGATTAGACCAGTACGGAAGCCGACCTGCAGCGGAGTGGGACAAGTTGAACTGTGAGTGACAGACAAGAGGAAAGAAGAAGCGACTGAAACAGCAAGATTATGGACCGATCCTCCAGATTGATTGCAACACGTTGATCATTTTCTTTCTGTGTCTATCAATGCGGCTCGTGTCGACAGGTTCAATCGCTGACAGCTTTCCCCTCCTCGAGTGTTTATTTTCTGGGGACTGTCGGACAACGGGGGTTGGATTCCTGAGAGCACGGGTAGGAACGCAGTCGCCTGGCGCTTAGAAGAAAAGAATGAGGATAGGGTTTGGAGCGGAGGGGGAGAATCTGCGGGGGAGGAGGAGGAGGGAGGAAGAAAAAGAAGAGGAGGAGAGGGAGGAGATCACTAGATAGATGATGAGAAAGAAAGAGAAAGAAGAGAAGACAAGAAGAGGCAGCAGCCAAGAAAGAGAAAACGGTTAATGAAGCTGTCTTGGTGGACGGGGCGTGGGGATGGCGACGTAGGAAGGCACGTAGGCAAAGCGCAGATCGGCCCACAGTGTCTAGTTAGGACGGTAGACGATCTGGAGTCCCAAACGGTGGTCCCTATTCAGTAACGTACTGAGCCCAGCAATTCGATGACGCGTTGGCCTAACTAACCCCCCAGGGCCCGACTGGAGCAGCCCCGACTGAGCCATGGTTTGAGGAGGAGCTGCAATCCTGAAACCGCCCCTGACAGGCCCGGCGGTTTGCTGTCTCAGCTTTCTTTGCGAAGCCAACACCAACCCCATGTCAGCTTGTCAGCTTGTCAGCTTGATTAGAAGAATAGATATCCTCGCATGGTAGATCCATGATTCAAGGCCCGGCCATAAGCTAGAATTCACCTCGACTTGGTTCCATTGAAATCAGGGGAAGGGAAAGGAGAAGCGTAGAACGAAAGGGGAAAGAAGAGAAGGGGACCGACTCGGGAAGAAAAAGGCGTGCGTTCAATGCCTTTTCTGCCGCCCCCAATCCGAGGGGGACAAAATATCCAATCTTTAATCTATTCGAGGAAGCAATGGACCCTGCTGCACACGGATTTACTGAGGGTATGCTCATACTCACACTACAGGGTTTAAGCTACTCACACTAAGAAGTGTCCCTAGCTCCTTTCTCTCTAGAATCAGTCACAGACTCCGACCTCCTCAACAGTCGCAATAGTTTGTTTACTCTCTCTTTTCCTGCAACCCGCAAAATCACCACCACCACCACCATCTATGCTACAACATTATGCCGACCGACCGTACTGGGCAATCTTGTTGGAATGCAACTTGACCAGCTCCGGAATGATCAGACTCTCGATCTCGACCCCCTCTTCCGCGGAGGTGACCACCTCGGGGACTCGATCGGGGGCACCACCACTGCCACTGCCACTGCCACTGCCGCCCCCACTGGTTTCTCCCGTCAGCGCGGCTTCGCCCGCCCGCTGTTTGGCCGCCTCGGCCAACCCGACCTGGTCTTCGCTACCGGAAATGCTCTTGCTGCGCCGCGACTTGGGCACTCGGATCCAACGCTCATATGGAGGCTCCGGCGTGACAAACACCACCTCCCATTTCCGCGTCGTCAGCAGGTTGCCAATCACCAGGTGATGGGCATACCGTTCCAGGGCGGTTTTCGCCTTGTACACCAGCAGATTGGGGTCCGTCTCCAGCTTGAAGGAGACCACCATGCTCCCATCCGGTGCCCAGCCGTCCACGAGCCGGTGGAGGAATTTGGGCACCGGGTCCAGGTCGATGACCAGTTTCTTGCTCCGGTTCGGCACCGGCTGCGGCTCCAGTCCTCCGGTGTATATGTCCAACGAATCTTCGCCCTGGCCGCTGCTTTTCAGGTGGCTCGGTAACTCCGACGACTGGATCTTGTGCTCCGACATGCGATCGCGGGGGATGAAGAAGTCGCTCACCGCTGCCGCCAGGTAGAAAAGGGCGTGGGGCCCCAGGGGCTTCATCAACTGCGCCAGCGACCGCAGTTCGAACAGATACTCGGAGACGGTAGTGAAGGGGAGGAGTAGGAGGAGGTTGTTTCGTTTGGCGTATTTGTACTTGCGCAACACGTCGCGCATCTGATCCTGGTATTCCTTGCACACCACGACCGGGCCGTCTTCCGAGTCGGACTCGTCATCGTCCATAAAGTCGAGGAAGCAGTTGGTCGAGTGGCTGTAGTGTCGCGAGTATGGCAGCAGACTGAACTGACGGTGGAGGAAAATGACGGCATAGCCCTGTTGCAGGAAGTACTCCGCCGACACGGCACCGCGAGTGCCGGCACTGAAGTTGTCGATGAAGCGCACGGTTTGATTCTCTGCACACGGTTAGACGTGATTCCTGTGCGCAGTGCCCGGCTCACAAACCCAGAGGAACGGTGGTGCCTCCGGAAGTGACGAGGACCAGTCGCCGGCCCGCTTGGACATGCAAGTCCACGAAGGCGCGCGCCAGGGCCTCGTGCTTCGGAAGAGCTTTGGGAGGGGGGTAGTTGTTGAAGTAGACGGACTCAGCCTCCGCGGGGGTCATGTCTGCGGTCGGAGCGGACGACATATTGGGATCCGGCGAATTTCCTCGACTTCCGACCGACAATATCCTAGAGCTTCGTGGTCCAATGTTTCCCAACAGACTCCTTATGGGTCGCAAGTGATGCGCGGGAAGCGACGGATCGATGTGCGAGATGAGCGGGCTCGATTGACCGCTCGTCTAGATAGAACCGATACAAAGAGACAAGGATTGAGTCGGCGATCGATGTTGAACGTTGAACGAGTGGGGAGGATAGATGCGGATATGCGCTATTCTATGGTGAACTGAGGGGTTAGTCTTTGACAGGAGGGAAGCAGCAAAGAGATCAAAGAACACTCTCGCAGAATGTCACTTGATGGATGGCAAATACCTATTGACAAATTGATCCGTAAAGGCGTTGCTTGGTTGAGTTGAAGTTGAACGAAAGGGCGGGGCCTCAACATTCTGACAGGGCGTGGAGGGGAGGGGGAGGAGAGGGGCAGTGGGCAGTGGGCAGTTGGAGCTACCGCCTTCGGAGTTATTCCTCGGCATTGGCCTCGTTCATCCTGCTTTCTCTGAGGTATCAGACTACAATGCTCATCAGTCAGACGGCCACCAGCTACCTCATCCCCCAGATGGCAGTGTCATCGCACAACCTCGGCAGATGGTCAAAATATGCCGACCAGATACAGCACCTAGTACTGCGACCTCGCTCCAGAGCGCCAAAAATTCCCGACAGTTGCTTCCTGCCAAGCCATGCGAACCATACAAACCATTCCAATCGCCGAACCGGCTGGTCAACGGGCAGAGCAGAAACCCGTGCGGCATCCCCGGTCAAAATCAAATCCATCGTTCGAAGACGACATTGCGCAGCTAGGCCGGCTATATGTCCACCGACTCCTCGTTGTTCGAGCTCGAGCTTCCGGATCGTCTGTCCGCGAACTCTTGACTCCGGCGAACTCTGGAATTGACTGCACCACCACCACCACCACCACCACCAGAATGATAGAAACGAACCTTGATACTGCCCAGTGTGTTGCGCCATGATCCTAATCCGGGCCCCTGATTTTGTAGTTCGAAGTACAAAAAATCAAGCCCCCGTTGTCGAGAGACATAGGTACATAGTAGAAGGTGTAGAATAAAAACCCGGCGTTCTCCACTCCACAGCCGGGAAACCATTCATTGCGCCCACGTTTTCCACCATAAGTCACAGCCCGTTGCCGCGATCTAGAATCCCATCGGCCCTCCGTCGTCATCAAGTTTCAGACTCAGTGGCTGTTGCAACGGTTCCGAGGTTCTCGACCGTGGTAGAACGGGGGGTCTGCGATGGTGAAACGCGGGCGGGATGGTCGTGCTGTGCTGTGCTGTGCTGTTTCAAATCAAGATCCGTCGAACTGAGAGCAAGCGTCGCCTTGATGTGAGTTATGATTCTACTTCTTAAGGTTCTACGATACCATAGACAACAATCACCAGGTAATGCCTGAAAGAAACAACAACCTACTACCTACTGCCCCCCCATCTCCTCCCCACCAACCAAACATATCACACTCACAAAGCGACAAGAATCCAAGATTTGCGCACTACACACATAAAATATGTACACATTTAGGCCTCCACCACCCACCAACCAGCGCCGCACTCACTCCTTCCGCGGCCTCACGGCCTCCTGCGGCGCCGGCGCATCGATATGCGCCGCCCAGTTGGTCAACGAGATATCCGCGGCCGTGAACCCGACTTCGTACTGGTCGTTGCCGCCGAACAGCATCGTGTTCGGGAACCCGGGGTCGAAGGGGGCGGCCAGGTCGATCTCCCGGATCTCCGCCTTGGTGAGCTCGACCTTCAGGGCGTCGATGTTGGCCTTGAGGTGCTCGACCTTCCGCTGGCCGACGATCGGGTAGATGTAGGGTTGTTTGTAGCGGAGGTAGGCGAGGGCCTGGATTCGGGGGAAGTCAGTCGGGGGGTTGCACGCACGCACGCACACACACACACACACACGCAATATACAATGAAGCAAGAGGGAAAAGAGAGTAAAAGGCAAAGAAACAAACTCACAATAGCATAAAGATTCGTTCCCTTGCGCTCGGCAACCTTCTCCAACACCTCCGAGATCTTCAGATCCGCCTCGGTGGGCTTCGAACCCCGCCCGGACCCCTCATGCTGCTGCCGGGCCTCGGCGGAGCGGAACCGGCCCTGGCCCAGCGGGGCCCAGGGGGCGATCGCCATGCCCTGGTCGCGGCACATGGGGACGATGTCGCGCTCCATGTCGCGGAAGCCGGCGTTCCACTTGCCCTGGTAGACGGCGAAGGGGCGCAGGCCGTGGGCGCGGGCGTAGTCGTTGGCCTTGACGACGACCCAGGCCGGGGTGTCGGAGACGCCCAGGTAGAGGACCTTGCCGGCGGCGACGAGGGCGTTGAGCGCCTGCATGACCTCCTCGACGCCCGTGGTGAAGTCCCACCAGTGCACGTACAGCAGGTCGATGTAGTCCGTCTGCAGCTTGCGGAGGCTCGCCTCCACGGAGACGCGCAGCGACTTCGCCGAGTTGCCCACGAAGTTGGACTGCAGCGGCTCCGTGTCGAAGTGCGCCGTCCGGAACCCCGTCGTGTACTTGGTGGCGATCACCATCTGGTCGCGGTTGTTGCGGAGTCGCATCCACTCGCCGATCCAGGTTTCTGACTCTTCGTACTGATATGCGTTGGCGCTGCGAGGGCTCAGGTGTTAGTAATTGAGGGTGTAAGAGGAGAGGATGATGTTAGGACGGATGAGAAGGCACCCACGTGTCGATGAAGTTCCCGCCCTCATTGAAGAAGTAGTCCAGCAGAGCGAAGGTATCCTCTTTGCTGCATTTGCCCATGAATTCCGTCCACGCCTCTCCAAAGTTCATTGCTCCCAAGCATAGCGGTGAGACCTGTCGAAGTTTAGCTTCAGTGCCACGATGAGTTCAAAGAATAGTCCCTACCTTGACGCCAGCGGTGGGAGAGAGAACCTGGTGGTAGCCAAGTAGGCTCTTGGGCTTCGGGGCAAGTGGGGCAAACGACATGTTGTCTAGATCTTGGGGAACTATATGTTTATATGTGGAAATAAAATCAATTGAGATGAATGTTCAATGATAGTGTTGATCCAAGTACAGAGAGACCAAAAGCACGTATATATACCCTTTGGACCCTAGGCTCCAGAGGATTGCGACAGGGTCTTTGACATGGCATGACGCAAGAAGGGTGGGGCCTAGTTTGAGTTATCGCCGAGCTGCAAGTCCTGTTCTGTCCTTCTGACACCATCGCCCATCTTGCAGCTTAAACTAGGGTGTAATTGCGTAGCAGTCAACGGCTGTCCTAGCTCTCATGCTATTAGTAATCGGTTTTAAGACTCTGCTATTCATAGGCCTTCGTGAATATGCAGAATGCTGGCAGGGTCCTGGAGTTCGTCGAGCCAAAGGAAGCTCAAGCTCCTGTCCTTATCTCCGTCGTGCTGACAACGCTAGTCCTGATCTGAACCGGTCGCGATAAGCCCCCGGCTTCCGCAGGATTTAAGCTCAAGCCCGGCGGAGATAAGCACGGTGATTGTATTGAGTACACCCCGAACACATGCGAGGAAACTCCTTTGGGTAGGAAGACGGCAATAGCAGCTCGAAATGACACTTGTCATGATCAGAACAGCCAGTTGAAATCAATCGTATGTGGCAGTCAAATAACCGAAATTGATCATTGTGCATTCAATCGAGATTATACGAAGAGACATTGGTAGATTTGAATACATCCAATCTGCTGATAAAACCTTTCCTTGGGGAAGTCATTTGGTGTAAATGCTGAGGCAAAAAAAAAAAAAAAAAAAAAAGAGAGAGAGCTGTAAAGTCATAACCCTGATCCAGGCAAATAGCGACTTCGTAAGGCCTGGCTAAAAGTGCTCATGCGGCTTGCCATTCCTCCATGCTGCATATTGCTCATCAGAGCCTCTTCGAGCGCCGACTGCGTAACGCTGGCATCTGTAGATGGGCAAGAATTTTAGCATGCATCCAGAATCCGTGAACGCACAAAGCTTACCATCCAGGTCACTAAAGCTACTTCCCATACTAGGCGTCCCATCGCTGGTCTCGCGACCCGCAGATGCAATCGACCGCCGCGGGCTGAAGGGGGTCAGCTCGGCGGCGCGACGAGGGCTCAGAGGGCCGCCGCTTTGGTGCATATGCCGCCGGCGATCGGTAGCTGGATGCGATGCTGGGACTCCGGAGCTGACAGAGCTCGTGGATGAATCCGCGGTCGGAGATTTTCTGACTATATGGAGTTGTTCCGCGGGGCGTCGATTGGAGACTGCAGGTACGTCCTCCTCGTTCATCCGCAGCGTGGCGTTGAGATCCAAACCTGAGGGATGGTGGGGGGTATGGGCTGGACCGGAGGACAGGGGGAGAAAAGCTGGTGAATCATCGTCCTCCTCCTCCTCATCTCGCAATCCTGGCTTATACGTTGAGAATTTGCCGAACGGTCTGAATCGTAGTCCCCGTCGGCTGTCCACTCGCTCGTCCTCCTCGGACTCGGACTCGGACGAGCTGGACGTCAAATCTTCCTCCTCGAGAGTTGGCGACTTTGGAAGCGGGGGATCTCGTCGGCTGGCCGGTGGCCGTGGAGCATGAGCCTCGCGGCCTAGCTCTTTCGGCTCGGAAGTAGGTGGTTCGTCGCGCAACGGCTCTCGGGCGGGCTTTAGTTGATTGATGGTTGTCGTCGAGCTTGTGCGTCTAGGGATCGGGGCTTCTTGTCCTCAGCACCAGACTTACAGTGACAAGTTTGATATGGACAGTCTGTGAGCTATTCAACTTACCTCGTTGCGGCAGGGACTCCTTCTGTTGCGCCAGGCGACTTGGAGCTCTCGGAGCTGTGAGAAGCAGTCAGCAAACGAAAACAGATCGACTCGTTGAGAGACCCATACCATTGCTTGCGGCAGCTTTAGCTTGACCGAGGGCAGCACTGCCGGATATCGAGCCGGGAGCGGGCGATGTAGATGTGGACTGCGTGGTCGGCACCTTGCGCATTTGCGCGCGCACTTGCGATAGCTGACGGTCGTACAGCCATGCTGCCTGCTGGAGTAGGAACTGAAGTGTGACTTCGAAGTGATCTGCTCTGTGACCAGACAAAGGTCAGCATTTATGTGGAACTGAGGGGGTGTTATGTGTCGGTACAATGCTTTCCCTGGGTCCGTCAGCCGTTGCTGTACTTAGTATGGGGTGGAGGTTCCATGAAGGACTAACAATCTAGATCATCGCCTTTCGAGGGCCGCGAAAGGATATCCCAGAGAG